CTCTCCTCTTTCACTTTCATCAAGAAGCTCTTTAGTTCCTCTTCACTTTCTGCCACTAAGGTGGTGTTATCTGCATATCTGTGTTATTAACTGGGTTATTCAACCTTTTTTGTTTGTTTCTTATTGAAGGATAATTGCTTTACAGAATTTTGTTGTTTTCTGTTAAACCTCAACATGAATCAGTCATGCTGCTGCTGCTGCTAAGTCACTTCAGTCGTGTCCGACTCTGTGTGATCCCATAGTCAGCAGCCCAGCAGCTCCCGCCCCCCCCCTCCCCGTCCCTGGGATTCTCCAGGCAAGAACATTGGAGCGGGTTGCCATTTCCTTCTCAGTGTGTGAAAGTGAAGTCGCTTAGTCGTGTCCGACTCTTAGCGACCCCATGGATCACAGCCTACCAGGCTCCTCCATCCATGGGATTTTCCAGGCAAGAGTACTGGAGCAGGGTGTCATTTCCTTCTCCAAGGGATCTTCCTGACCCAGGGATTGAAACCAAGTCTCCTGCTTGGCTGAAGGATTTTTTTTTTTAAACAACTGAGCCACCTGGGAAGTCCTGCCCATGTGTATAGATGTACAATATATGGACATACACACAGAGTCCATTTACACGTACCTGCCATGTGTATATCTGGAGCATTTGCCAATCCACTGGGTCACTTTGAGCGAATCAGGCCTCATTTGAGCTCATTTTCCTATTGGCAAGTAGCACATACCTGGTCTGTTCCCTTCCACTCCCGATGGTGTGTTGACTACAGGGCCAGTGTTGGAAGAAGAGCTGGTGGGAAGGTGGTTGTGGTAGCAGGGGCTTCCGCCAGCCTTTTCTTCGAAAGAGCTGGATTTATGCAATCACTTTGAAGAGCGTTTGGCAGTCTCTGCTGATGCTGAAAATGCAGATGCCAATGCTCCCAGTATTTCCCTCCCTGGAGGAATGTTCCCACAAGGGCACCAAAAGACATGCACAGGGATGTTCAAAGTAGCATTGCTATGCTGGTGGAAAATCTTCAAGTCCACAAATCATTTTGCTCTTCCCTGCCTCCCTCTTATCACTCTGCGCCCTGCCCCTGTAGCAGAGCTTCCTCCTGGGAGTGATGTTGTAAATGCTAGACCTGGGCTCTTCGGTGGACTTCCGTAAGCCAGCAGGTCTCCACCCATGTGGGGGTGGGAGCAGGCGAGTAGGTGAGAATCACAGGATGGTATGAAAGTAGAATGGTGTGGATGGCTTGAAAATAATGTAATTTTAATGTAATTTTATCCTTGAAAAACAGTATTTGTTTAATGTGACACAAATGATAGCAGTTAGCAATGTATTATCGTCAAAATGGCACGTGTTTCAAGGTTGTGGAGTGCTAATTGCGGGTGTGGTATCTTGAGCCCAGCTCAGAGACAGAGCTCTCACAGAAGTTTACATAAACCAAGTGACCTGATTTCCTTTCCTGTGGAAGCGCACCCTCCCCACCATTAACCTGAAAACCAGAAAGGGCTGAGATATGGTATTGCTAATGGTATCTTCAAACCTTCCTTCCCCCTCTCCCCCTTAACACAATGCTCCAGGAATTATTTATCAGCAGGTGCAACAGTTGTTGCATTGAACTAGATTATATGAACTAGATGTTGTCGAGTACTCTAACTGCAAAATTGGGGCTCTAACTAGGGCTCTGTGAACCCTCCCCAAATAAAGGACACTAAGTGTGTTCATGACTTTTATCCTGATGAGCTTTCTTTAATCTTTGCTGACAAAAAAAAAAAAAAAATCAAATGTACAGTTTTTTTTCAGGATGCCACTGGCAAATAGAATTAGTATTGAGCCTTCCCTTCCCCCAGTTAATACAACTTCTCAAATCAGAAATCCTATCTATATTCTAGATCAACACAGTGAAAGTGAAAGTGTTGGTCACTCAGTTGTGTCCGACTCTGCTACCCCATGGACTGCAGCCTGCCAGGCTCCTCTGTGGAATCTCTAGGCAAGAATACTAGAGTGGGTAGTCTCTCCCTACCCTAAGGCTCTCCTAACATATTAAAATAATCAGTACAATAATAAAGACAGAGCATATAATTTCAAATCAGTGATGTGAGAAATCAATATGAGAATGATATGAGAAATGAAAGGAAATAAAACAAAGAGAAAAAACCCAACTTAATCCCAGAGGAAGGCAAGGGAAGATAAAAAAGAAATATTAAAATATGAGAAAAACAGAAAGCACAAAATAAGATGGTAGGTGTGTTTTTTTGTTTGAATATGTTCACAGTGACAATTCATCTGACCAGTACACTTATTATCAGGCCATGCATGATATGCATGATGTTTTAATATGTATGTATACTTCAATGAAAGTGTTTAAAAATAAGTTGGCAGAATTAAATCCAAATATATTGGAAATTAGATTAATTATGATATAAATATAAATGAATGAAAGGATATAGTTAAAAGACAAATACTTTTGAATCATAGGACTGGATTACAGAAAATCCAACTACTGTATGTGTTGCTTATAAAAGACACATCTAAAACATCAGGATATTGAGAGTTTGAAAAGAAAAGGATGGGTAAAAATGTACTAGGCAAATACTACTAAGAAAAAATGCATATTGGTGTGTCTGTACTCATATCAGACAAAACAGATTTTAAGGCAAATTAATGTCGAAAGACATTCAACATTCTCAGAAGACTGAACTACAGGGAGAAATAGACAATTTCACTGTCATAGAAGGAGCCTGTAACCCACCTTTCCATGTAACTGATAGATGGGACAAAAGTAAATAAAGGTTAGAAAGATTTGAACATTCCAAATTAACAAGGTTGATCTAAAGTGTATAGAGAGAACTCATCAACAATTTCAGAACCTATATTCTTTTCATAAATGGAACATGAGATAGACTATATTCTAGACCAAAAAACAATTCTCAACAAATTTCAAGGAACTGGTACTATTAAAATAGTATTCTCTGTGTAAATCCATGGCTAATTCATTTCAATGTATGACAAAACCCACTTCAATACTGTAAAGTAATTAGCCTCCAACTAATAAAAATAAATGAAAAAAATTAGTATTCTCTGATGGCAGTGTGATTTACTTAGCAATGAGTAACAGCAATAATAATAATAGGGTCAATAAAAATTTATATGCTTGAAAATTAAGAATCATTTCTAAACACAGGAGTCAAAGAAAAGAAAATCAGGTGGAAATTAGAGCCTATTTAGAACTCAAAATAATGAAAATTCTGCAAATAAAAATTGTGGCATCTCCCTAAAGCTTCTCTTATGTGCATGCCAAGTTGCTTCATTCGTGTCTGACTCTTTGTGACCCCATGGACTTTAGTCCACCAGGCTCCTCTGTCCATGGGATTCTCCAGGTAAGAATACTGGAGTGGGTTGCCATTCCCTTCTCCAGGGAATCTTTCTGACTCAGGGATTGAACCCGCATCTCCTGAGGCTCCTTCATTGAGGGAAATTAATAACCTTATATGGGGCTTCTCAGATGGCACTAGTGGTGAAGAACCTGCCTGCCAAAGCAGGAGGCATAAGAAACATGGGTTTGATCACTGGGTCAGGAAGATTCCCTGGAGGAGGGCATGGCAACCCACTCCAGTATTCTCAGCAGGCTACAGTCCAAGTCCACAGGGTCACAAAGAGTCAGACACAACTGAAGCGATTTAGCACACATGAAAGCAATAGCCTTATATACTTACATTAGCAAAGGAGAAAGGCTGAAATAAATGAGTATCCAACCTTAAAAAGTAAGAAAAGGAACAACTGAAAAGACTCAATAAAGTAGAAGTAAGGAAACAATTAAGATAAAATTAAGACATTAGTGAAATAGAATACAGAGATGAATGCCAGAGCAAAGCTGGGTTTTTAGAAAAGACAAATTAACAGACCTCTGGCAAGACTGATCAAGGACAAAAAGCATATAAATACACAGTGTTGGGGATTGAAAATAAGACCTAACTACTAGGAAATATCCTGACCCAAGTTTCTTCACACCACCACTGACTTTTCTCTCAAGGACTTTTTTCTTGCCTATTGTAGACCTGAGCCCTCAACTGCTTTAGTCAGGGCTCACAGGCAGCATCTTATCTTGCTCTGTAGACCTCTGCCTGTGCTGGATGTTCAGACCCAACACGTGGAAATCACCCACTTCTGATTCAGGGCAAAGTAGTTGATACAGCATACCTTGGCAATATGGGAGGTTTGTTTCCAGACCACTGCAATAAAGTGAATGTTGCAATCAAGTGAGTCATGAATATTTTGGTTTCCAGTGCATGGTGGCTCGATGGTAAAGAATCCATCTGCCAGTGTAGAAGATGCAAGAGATGTGGGTTCAATTCCTGGATCTGGAAGATCTCCTGGAATAGGAAAATGGCAACCCACTCCAGTATTTCTTGCCTGAAAAATTCCAAGGACAGAGGAGCCTGGCGGGCTATAGTTCACAGGTTTGCAAAGAGCTGGACATGACTGAGCATACATACAGACACACACACACACAGAGGCACACAAAAGCTTATACCATACTTTAGACTGTAAACTGTGCAATAACATTACATTAAAAAAAAACTTTTTAAATTTAGAAATACTTTGTTGCTCTTTGCAAAGTGTTGCTCTTAGAAATACTTTGTTGGCCATATATGGTTGCCACAAACCTTCAAATGGTGGAAACCACAGTATCTTGGAAGTACAATATAAGGAGGTATGCCTATTAATGAACTCTGCCATCTTACAGACACTGGGTAGGGAAGGCAAGGAATTCCACGGCTCTGATATCCCAGGATAAAAGGGCTTGTAGCTTACCACTAGCAGTACTAGCCACGAATGAGGAAATGTCATAAACCACAGGGAACAACATGAAAACCCTCACCCAGTGGATGAGTTGGATTTAAGAGACCCACTGCTGTTCTTTGCCCCTTAAGCTCGGCACAGGAGAACTTGCCCTGGTTCTGTTTCATTGTTCCACTTTTTGAGCCCCCTTCTCCCCAAAACACAGTAACCCAGGCTGGCAAACCTAGTCTCATAGGGCCACACCTAAGCTCCCGTTTCCTTTCTCTGCAGCTGGCTGTCCGGCTCGCCTCCTCCAGTACCCTGCCAGGGAGGCGCCCCCGCTCCGCAGCCTCTGTAGACTTTCATCAAAGGCTCTGCGCACAGCTGAGGAGGAGAAATAGAAAATCAAAGGGTCGATGCAGGCATTGAGAGCGCTGAGCATCACGGCGCAGACCCGCCACCTTTCGCTGGTCTTACGGAAGAACCCCACCACGTGAGACACATTGTAGGGCCCGAAACAGACCAGGAAATTGAACAGCGTCGCAACAACCAGCGCCACGGCTCTCCAGCGCTTCCGGGTCGGCACTTGCGGCTGGGAGAGAACGATTCGCACCAAACGCCAGTAACAAAAGATGGTGACCCCCATGGGGATGAAAAAGAGGAGGAGGCACAGTTCCAGCCGCACCGGAAGCACCACGCGCAGCTGCTCTTGGGTGAAGTTGTCATAGCAGACAGGGCGGCTGTTGGCCTCGCTCGACGAGTTGGTTGGTAAGTACTGGACAATGATGACAATGCTACAGTGTCCGAAGGACAAGAGCCAGATGGCCACGGCAGCGACCACTCCGTACACGGGCCGGCGGTTCAGCTTGTACTGCACGGGGAAAGCCACGCTGCGGTAGCGCTCCACGCTGATGCCCACCAGCAGCCACGTGCTGCAGTAGATGCTGCAGTAGAAGCCGAAACCAGTGAGGGCACAGAGCGTGTTCCCCAGGGGCCAGGCGAAATTATGCGCAGCCTCAACCATCTTGAAGGGCAGCAGCAGCAGCAGCAGGAGGTCGGCCAACGTCAGGCTGAGGAGGAGGATGTGGATGGGTGCCGGGTGGGGCCGGCGCACACGCCCCACGAAGGCCTGCAGCGCCAGGAGGTTGGCAGGGAGACCGAAGAGGAAAGATAGAAAGTAGACAAGGAGAAGTCCCAGGTTTTGGGGACTTGGGGCCATCCTTCCTGAAGAGACAAAAGATGCTGTCAGAATTCTCTCTGACTTTGAATTTCCTAGCCCCAAATCAAGGCGAATCAGACTCTGCGTCTCCCCTCTGTTTCACTAAGGGATTATTGCCTACCCTGCAGATGGAACACTATTCTTCTTCCTGTGTGTCAGGGAGAAAGAACTTGTCCTTCTTCACAACAAAATTACTTCTTTAGAATCTACACAACAGAATTACACAAGAAAATTACTCCTTTAGAATCTTTCACTTCTCCATTTCCACCCTGCAAATTGAGAGAGAGAGAGTCTTAAGAGTTTTGATGTCTCAGAAGCCCCCACAGGAAAAGTTCTGAGGTCTCCAAGTCCCCAATAGAAAGGGTGACTTCCCTGGTGGTCCAGTGGTTAAGAATCTGCCTGCCAATGCAAGGGACACGAGTTCAATCCTTGGTCTGGGAAGATTCGCCTGCCTCTGGGTAACTAAGCCCATGTGCCCCAACTACTGAGCCTGCACACTCTAGAGCCCATGCTCCACAACAAGAGAAGTCACCACAATGAAGAATCGGTCTCCCCTACTCATTGCAACTAGAGAAAGCCCCTGCACAGCGACAAAGACCCAGAGCAGCCCAAAACAAATAAACAAAAAAGTTTTTTTCCAAAAAAGGACCCTGTGTGAGGGCTGTGCGGTCCTCTGTCTTAAGTACCTAGAACTGTGCCCAACACATAGCAGGTGCTGAATCAACTTCTGTCAGTCAACAAATGGCTGTGTGAACTGTGGTTCCTCACGAAGACTGGGTAACCCCAAGACTATCTCTGAACATTTCCAAATTCTACTTGACCTGCTTGTGGCTTTTTCCTCTCCTGGTCTTTGACCTCTTTTTTCTTTTCTCTCCCCAAGTCACAGGGCTTGAACACAAGATTCTCAGCTTCACCTCTGAAAATGGGAGTTTGGTTGAGCTTGAGCGGAAAGCAGCTCAAGCCCAAAGTGAGCCTCAGATGCCCTGCTTCTCAGTTCTATGCGGAGCCATTCAAAGACAACCTGTAGGTTCCGGGTAAGGTAACAGAGGGGCCTGACCGGGACCAGGATTCTAGTCCAGGCCCTGCTGTCGATCAGTCATGTGACTCTGGGAATCATTCTAAGTCCTCCCAGCATTGGCTTACTGCCTTCTGCTTCACATATAACCTGTGATTTCACCAGAACCACCACAGATCCCATAGACTGCCAGCCAGTTCACCTCTTCTCCCCCTAAAGAAAGCATATATGTGAGATGTATGTCAATCAAGAATAACCTTTAATCTCCTTGTACACACTATTGTGCACTTTGTAGGTGGCTCAGTGGTAAAGAATCTGCCTGCCAATGCAGGTTGGAGCTCTGAGCCTGGAAGATCCCCTGGAGAAGGAAATGGCAACCCACTCCAGTATTCTTGCCTGGAGAATTCCATGAACAAAGGAGCCTGGTGGGCTACAGTCCCATGGGGTAGCAAGAGTCAGACACAACTTAGCAACTAAACAACAACAACAACACACTGCTAAATCTCAGATGAATAGCCAACAAAGTCCTACTGTATAGCACAGGGAACTCTGCTCAATGTTAGGCAGAAACCAGGATTGGAGGAGCGTTTAGGGGAGAAGGGATACACGTATATGTATGGCTGAGTCCCTTTGCCATTCACTTGGAACTATCACGACATTGTTAATTGGCTATTCTCCATTATGAAATAAAAAGTTTAAAAAAAACAGTAACGTTTAATCTCCTTTCGTTCATCATTAACAAGTGTACATTTAAAATTAAACTTGAGTCCTTAACCTGTTGCTGGTAACATATTACTGGTGGCCCACTCATGAATCTCACTTCTAAATTGGAAAAATCTCAGAAGTAGAGGGCCCTGTGAAAAGGGAGACTACCCAACTCACTGAACTCACCTTTTCTGTTCCTCCTGTGCTTACCTGTGCCTTGGCCCTCACCAGCACCCTCTCTCCCTTGACTTATCCTGGCCCCCTTTCACTTCCATGACCACCTTCCCTCCTCTCCTTCTAGAGTCAACCCCATACTCTGCTCCCTCTTCCTAAGTTTATCTACCCAAACTCCTTCTATCCCCCTTCCACTTACAGTTGTGGTCCCAACAGCCTCTTCCTTGAGCACAAGCAAAGTCAGGAGCCTTGCCTTTTCCTGGAAGCAGATGGACGGCTTTGCAAATATGTCAGTTCTCAGAAGCAAGTCAAACCTTGTCTCACTGGGCCACCTCTCCACTTCCCCCCCCAAAACAACATTTTTTTATACCTAGAGGAGCCACGTGGTCAAAAAGAGGAAGGTCAATAGTTGAGCTCTTGCCAAGGCAACTCTACCTGGATCCCCCACCAAATTCTGCCCCACCAAACTTATTTCTTCCAGAATCCAGATCGTAGTCAGTCTTTTGAGCTTTCTCCTCCTTCTGCATTCCAAGTAATCTCTCTCCTTTCTGTGAGCCATTATTACAAACAATTTTGCACACTCATCCACTTCCTGCTCCCTCTACTCTTTCCTCACCTGTCCCCACCCCATCTTTTCTCTCAAGGCCCCGATCTGATCAATTTCCTGTTCTCTTTCCAGGCAGCTCTGGCTGGATCTGGTTAATATCTTGAGCATTGCCTGACTTCCTCTGGCCCTTTAGGTCCCTTCTTAACAGATATTTTTTTCCTTGGACTCAGACTATCCATATAACATGTAACATGGACTCAGTCCATGTTGCTGCCAGGCAGCCTGTTTCTGGCTCTTCTCCTCTCCCTTCTTCTCCCCTCCTCTCCCTTCTTCTCCCCTCTGGAGTCATTCCCCTCCCACCATGATCTCTGTCCCGCTTGGATCACCCTCTCTTCTCACTGTTCTCTCATTAACTTGTTTAGGGCCCACATTGCTCCCTACTAGCATCTCAAGGCAGACATACAAGATGCTTGTCTCCCCTCAGGAAACGTGCTTATCTGTCCACTGGCTGCCTGACACTTCCAACAGAGGCTCTGGTTCTCTCCCCATGACCCTCAGCCGTTTCTCCTCCAGAAAGGACCTCTTGTCACTTAGCTTATCACTCCCCACCTTGGTACCCACGTGGTCTCTCTACATTTCTGCAGCCTGCCCTTTGTAACCCACGTGGTGTGTATCCTAGAATGGGCACCTAGGAAGTGGTTTTGATGCTTGACACACAGGAGACGAAGGCAACATAATTATCTTTCATTCTCTACCAAGGTATTTTGTGCTATTTTACTGTCTGCACGTGATTGAGCAACAGAAACTTACTGGAAAGGTGAAGATGGCTGGATAAGGATAAGGCTGCTTTCATCAGCTTAAAATGCTAAGAGAGGGACCTCTTTTCTCCATCCTCATCCCCCAGCCATGCAGACCTGCAGAACCCTCTCTTCTAGCAGGTGCCAGGACCCTGGCCCAGTTTCAAAGCCTCAGGAATCTCTTAGGAAACCCCCTTTTGGCTTGGAAAATAGCAGTGCCTCCTGAAGTGAGTCTAGGTAAGGTTGGTTCTTCTGGAAATGACTATTTTGAAGTCTGTCCTTAGGAAAAAAAACTAGCACAGTCTCTTGATTATGATAGCACTTGATCGTTGTTGTTTAGTGGCTAAGTCATGTTCAAGCATTTTGCGGCTGCATGGACTGTAGCCCCCCAGGCTCCTCTGTCCATGGGATTTCCCAGGCAGGGATACTGGAGTGGGTGGCCATTTCCCCCTCCAGGGGATCTTCCTGACCCAGGGATTGAGCCCACATCTCCTGCATTGGCAGGCAGATTCTTTACCGCTGAGCCACCAGGGAAACCCAGGTACTTGATTACTTGTGGCTGGGAGTAGAAGGACTGGAGTTGGATGTGCCTGTAAGAGCTTATTAGCTGATGATACTAGCAGAGTGAGTCAGAACCTGTGCTTTTTACCTTCTTTTTTTAATCTCCATTCTGTTCCCCAAGTCACCAGTATTGGGACATCCTTGCTGTCCCTAAGACCCCAGCCATATGGGCATTCAGACTAAGTTGTTAACTAAATCACAGAGCTTCAGTGACCCCACACAGTGGCATCATGGGAGTGAGCAGTGCAGCATCTCCAGTCCAACTCAACTAAGTTTACCTCGGAGTGAGTCACACTGCTCCCCACCATGCCACACCTGTCACTAGCACTCCACTTCCCAGCCATCAAAGGCCCTGTGCAAGGCATGGTTCTGGATGCTGGGGACACGAGTGAGCAAGACACAGGGTAAACAGGTAAACACACAAAGCAGGTGATTTCAAGTGAAGGAAGGAAGCAAATCTGAAGAGTCTGGCATAGGGCTTTCTTTAGGTAAGGCTGTCAGGATAGACCTGCGCTGAAGAGGGGTATTTGAACTACTGAGAAGGAGCTAGCCTCATGAAGGGCGTTCCAGGTAGTTGTTCAGTCGCTCAGTCAGTTGTATCTGACTCTGCGACCCCATGGACAGCACCATGCCAGGCTTCCCTGTTTTTCACTGTCTCCCAGAGTTTGCTCAAACTCATGACCATTGAGTCGATGATGCCATCCAGCCATCTCATCCTCTCTTGTCCCTCCTCCTCCTGCCTTCAATCTTTCCCAGCATCGTTTCAGGTAGAGGGGAAGGCAATACCCAAAGCTCTGCACCAGGAACAAGCCCACAGTATAAGGGGAATAGAAAGAAGGCCCGTGTGGCTGGGCCTGCAAGATACGCTGGGCCGCACGGCCTTTGGGCTGTGTTGATTCATCTGGAGTTGTTTGACCTTGGATGACAGTGTTTCATTTGTTGATCTGATCTTCCTCTGTGAGAATTAGATATGTCCCCGGTAAGCCTCTGTGGCCAGTCAGAATCTGATAGCTTCTTTCTGATTCAGTCTTCCTGACCTCTTGACAACACAGAGCTATCACTGTCCTCTTCAGCATCCAGCAACAACAGGTGGGGTGATGATCAGAGGTAGGGTTGCAAAAAAATGGAGTGACTCAGAAATGGATTTTTTCTTGATGATTGCAATTCTTTTATTTATTTTTTTTTGTTTCAAATTAATTTT